GATCTTTGGTCATTTTTGAGTGAGATGCTAACGGTCTAATCAGATTCAATGATCTATGCTAAGCTACAGCTTTAATGTACATATGGCAGAAATGTACGGAAAACTCAATTTAAGACATAATAAAACAGACGATGAACACTATTAATTTATGGCTGAATCATATTGCACAATGTGACTGACCATGATGAACTGCTAGGCCTGATACCTGCCTTTTATTCACACTATAACACACAGAATGTGATTCTATTGAGTTACTCATTCATACCCAGAAGACTTCTGTGCTCTGTTCTGACCTCTTACTTGATGCCTAACGGCTTAAGAAAGAAGAATTATGCAGCTTTCTCTCTCTATTCTAACCCAGTTGTATATCTAAATTTGCCCCCTAGGGGGATGTAGCAGCATGACTAAACTTGGCTCAGCCAAAGCAAAGCACAGAGCAAGAACTCTCCCTAACACTAGCATTAGTAATATTGATGTGTATTAACAGGAGACAGAGAAGGAAAATGCTAAAGCTTATAATGATAATCTCTTATGGCTCCATGATGTAAAAATACTGGTCACATGACATAAAGTGTGTATTTTTGATTTCAAATTTAATCTAGACTCAAAAAAAGTCTTAATTATTTATGATTAATTAATTAATCTAAATTTTTATTAGTTGATTTAAGCCTTCAGAGTGGCATCCATATGTTGCAAAGCAATGTTGCTGCAGGGGTTTTTTAGTTATATATAAAGAGGATATAGAAAAAAGAATCTGCTAAGCTTTAAATACCTTGCTTATTTCTATGAATTATGATTTCATATATGATTTCATGTTTATTTAATCAAAAATACATTTTATAATACAATTTAAAATAACTGTTTTCTATTTGAATATATTTTGAAACGCTGATATTTCAGCATCATTACTACAGTTTTCAGTGTCACATGATCCTTCAGAAATCATTCTAATATGCTAATTTGCTGCTCAAGAAACATTTCTTATTTTTAATATTCTTATAAATATTTTTGTAAAATATTAATTTTGTAAAATATTTTTGTAATGTCTTTACTGCCATCTTCATCAATTTATTGTGTCCTTTCTGAATAAAAGTAATAATTATATTTATATAATTATATAAAATATATATATTTTAATTTTAATTAAAAGTTAATTTAATAATTAAATGTATTACTTGCCATTTCTTTGTAGTTATTTTTTCATTGCAGTTATTACTAGTAATTTCTTAGTGGAAGTAGTTTCACGCCATTTTTAAGTATATGTGCAAAAATAGTGGAGTGTTCCTTTAAGATTGATATATTTTAATTACATAAAGTTTGTTAATTTTCATTCCAATTTTAACGTGATGCAGTCAGCCACACATACATGAAACAGGTAAGATACGAGTAATATTTTTGTAATAGTATTATAATCTGAATGTGTTTTAAATACACAATAAACAATGATTATATAATCGTCAATCACCAGTTAGTATAAATGCATTTTGAAAAACTTTATTTAAATAAAATCAAATAAAAATAGTTAATAATTGTAACGGAAGAGGTCTGACGCAACAGGTTAGTATATCACTCAAGTTTATTTGGTCACAGAGAGTACGGGTGCAAGATCCAGGTGATGACACGGTGAGTGTATGGTTCGTAGAACAGTTTAAAGGATGATGAGTGGACTGATCAGAGTCCTTTCTTTTGCAGGAGCTGGAATGCACACGGAAGAGCACACCTCAGCGATCCAGGAACAGGAGACGAGGAGACACTAGGAGGAACACAGGAGGTAAGTAATGCAGGAAGTATTCAAATGGAAGCAGTAGTAAAGTCAGAGAGTCCTCTACGTGTGTACGAGACCGGACAATGAGGGTGTCTGAGGTGTGTGCTTTTATGCAGGCTGGTTGATGAGGTGCTTGATTGGTGACAGGTGCAGGTGCTCAGTACTCAGGTGAAGGTGGTTGCGGTGATTGGGAGGTGACTGAGTCTGGCCGATCTGTGACAGTACTCCCCCCTCCCGAAAGGCGCGTCCCGCGCCGTAACAATTCCACCGGGGAGGGGGGGTGGGCGCCCTGGAGGCTGGTACATGACGGAGACCCGGGAGGCCTCTAGGGCGGAGCAGGTAATCCAGGTTGCCATGGCGGAGCCGGGGACTCGGGTTGCCATGGCGGCTCCTCCGTGGCCTTGGCTGGCTCGGCCACGGGTATATGGCCCCCC